TACTTCAACTGACATAAATACTATATTTTCTGATTTAATTTTCTGCCTATTAAATCAGAGCAAGGGTTTGACAATCTAACAGCTAAAAGGAATCCTCCTCACTCTGATGTTTCTCTTTTTTGACGTTTTATGATCTCGCAGCTATAGAAAAGACTTTTGAAGAAACCTGATCTATGCTGACCAAGCTCTGTGATTGTAGCTGAGCTCTTTAATGCCTTCTTGACTCTGAAAACTCTGATGTCTGACACTTGAAAGGGGTTCAGTTTTACATTATATTCAGTTTAACCACACTTTTTTTTTTACATTACTTCGTGATTCTTTTAAACTTTGGACAGAACAATTTCACACAAAGTTTCTTTTTGCACTGTTTTAATAGCTTTTTGCTGTATGAATCTATGCTAATACATTCTTCACTGTCATCAGTTTCTCTGCCCAACTAATAAAAAAAGTTCAAAGAAAAACTTTATATACATGTGAGCCACTTGGGTACAGTTGATGGAGTTTGTGAACATCAGCAAATCATCATGTTCTGACAGCCAACCGTTCCGAAGCAGAGCTATAAATTATTCAAATGTTTCTCTGCCACCTGTGTGCAGCCTGCATTCACTTTCACAATGTGTTCTTTTTGTGTTTTGCTTTTTAGTTTCCCTGTTTCTAAGAAAAAAAAGTGTCTTATTCCGCAGCTTCAAGGGCTTCACCACTTTAAGGAGCGAGTCACTAAACGCGATGGACTGATATTTTATGGAGCACGTACTCATCGGAAAGCATCGCTTGCAGCAGATTCTAGGATGTGTTGTTTCAATGTGTTCAGTAAGAGTTACACATTTGGAGTTAAACTRAAATAAATGTCATATCTGGAGAAACCAGTTTTCTGCTCAGTCCACTGATGTGTGATGAAGCCTTTAAATAAACTGGCACCAATATTCACTAAAAGAGAACACTGCCATATTTATAGACAGACATGTTTAATATATTATATCGAGGGACTTACTGTATTTTGAGTTGTTGAGGATCATTAGTGTAAACTAATGCAAATCATTTTTATTTTGATACAACAAGATGTATCAGAGGTCTGGGAATACATTTTGCATTTTGCTTCCAGTTTGCACTAACAAGACCTCATAAATGCCCAGTGTCGAAGTTTTGTAGGATTAAACATTTTTCAAAATTTTCCCATATGAGCACATCTTGTATCTAACCAGTGTGATAAAGGCAACATAACTTCTTTGTTAAAACATTTTTTCTTTGTTTTAAAACAGCAGATGATTATGCTCATACTGTTTTTGAAGCATTGCTTGAATGTGGGCTTAATTAATGAGTGCAAAGCTGTTGAGTTTTTTAATTTTTTTATTCTTTTCCTTCAGATTTAATTTCAGGTACGTATTTGTCTAACTTATTCAAATGTTTTAGAACTAAAAAGAGGGGATATAATGCAGATTTAATTAAGTGCAGCTGYCAGTTTTTGTCATCCTTTTGAGATAAAAAAATGAAGGATTTAATGCAAGAAACAGTATAAAAATTTCTCAAACTGGTTAGAACCAAGAGCTGTTCAAATCACAAACGTTTGTTGTAAGTTTGCTTGGGGAAAAACATATACAATAAAACACTCCTGGAAGTTTGAGAAAATGTTGTTAGACCTTTTATTTAGCTTGTGTTCAAAGGAAATATTGATGTGTATTGCACCTCAAAGCATAATTTTATGAATTTTAGAAAACTGCCCTGTAGAMGGTGTTAAGTGTTATATGAACTCTAAAATGACCTTGGCCTAGGGACACACAATGTATGAAAAATTCATTTTTCCTGCAATATCTATGAGCTCTGTACCAATATTGCAATATTGCTACTTGGACTGCCATAAATGGTATATTATTATATTTCCAAGTGCCATGTATTCATGATCAGCATGTCAATGGGACATTTGGCCAATCAGATGGGCTCTCGTTGCTCTTGATGCCCCCACTTGAATTAGATGTTCGTGATCCTGAAGTACTTTGAGCACTGTGATGCTGAAGGGTAAAAAAGGAGAGGGGAAGAAAATGAGGTCATTGTTTGTTTATTGCAAGTCATATTGGCATCACAATTTTCAAAAATGATGTTGCATTATGAATGGTATTGTATCTTTGTGCTGCCCAGGATATGACTATAAGGCTTCTCTATCATCTAGCAAATCTTTGAATATGCTAATATGGCTGCCCACATCTCCACCTGCCAGCATTTTACTCTGCCCTGCTCTTTTTGCTCTGCAAGGTTTCCAGGTCTATCTATTATAAGTAGCTTTTTGATGTTGTTGTTTTTGTTGTTTTCAGCTTGCTAGTTTGTATAGTTTTATTTAGGGTTTTCCTCTTCCTCCTAAGCATTCTTTTTTCTAATCTAAGCAAAGATTTAAAAAGCATAGTTTGTCCATACATCACTATTACCAACACTACCTCTCCCTCTCTCCTTCGCTATCCAGTCAAATCAGAGAAGTTTGTAAAATTGGAATTAAGTCCAAGAAAAAAAAAATGCACATTTTCCGTCACAAAGGTTTTCACATCTCTGTAGAAAGCTTCTTTCAAAAGATGACTGTTCAAGACAATCAATGGAAGGAAAAGAAAAGTCTTTGTTGCACAAAATCTTTTAGACCAAGTATGGACATGAAAAAGTGGCACGTTGTATGCATGAACACAATCAAAAATGAACCTAAATTGAGAAACAGTTCCACAAATGCTGTCTATTGCTAGTCACCATGGTATTAACAGCTGTAGCTTTACCAAAGTGTTGTTAGCATTTTTTATTTTTGTTTTTGTTTTTGTGTGGTTCGTGGAGAGGAGAAAAATTGATGGCAAAATACCGTGTCGAAGATATATTGATCCAAACCTCAGCTGACTGTGGTGGGGAAACATCCCCCAGCAGCACACCGTATGTGTTCGCGTGGACACAAACACTTGAACATGCAAGCACACACACGTGCACAGATTTTATTGAAGCCTTTACGTACCTGTCAACTGCAATTGCCAGCAGTGCGTTCGTGGACACATAAAGTGACACGGTGCGGAGGTAGTTTACCGAGGCACACAACATCAATCCATGATCCCAGGAAAGCTGTTTTACTACGTAGTAGTCCACCAGAAATGGGCAGCACACCACCGCCACAATAAAGTCAGAGATGGCCAGGTTTGCGATCAGCAGGTTGGTGAGGTTGCGTAGCTTTTTATAGCGCGTCAGTGTGGCAATAAATATGAAGTTTCCCAGCCCACAAACAAGCATGATGCACACGAGGACAATACCGATGACAATGGTGGCCACAAAGAAGGCCTGGCCCTGCGTTGTGTCTGGGATCTCATCAGGAGGGATGCCATAGTCCATGTCATAGCTGTCCATATACTGATCCAACTTGTCATCTAACTGACTGCCCTGCATCTCAGCAGAGGCGGCTACAATATGACTGGTGTTTGGATCCCCCATGTTCTTGTTTTGAGCTGCTTAAAATTGTAGATTTACTTGATCTAGCAATTTGAGTAAGAAACAGAACAGCTTTGTATTGTAGCACTCCAGTGTCACTGGTGTCCAGTGTCAGTCTGAACAGACTGACTCTTCTGTGGAAACGGGGACATATCTTCTCCTGGAACAGACAATTACTAAATCTCAGCTTTACTTAGGCAGGATTTGAAACAACATATTATCAAAAAATAAAAATAAAAAGATGGCATATTGGTTTGATTCCAGCAAAAGTCTTAATTTATTTTATCAGGATGATGTCACTTTGAACAAGCCAGCATCAGCCACTGACGACAGTACAGTGAATTTGCTGCACAAGTGGTCACTAAAATCCAACTGTGTGTATTCGATATAAGTAACACTATAATGGAAAACCCCTTCAGTCTAAGCATAAAGAGAAAAATGCATTAAAACATGTTTGTAATGATCATTCAACACAGTCTGCCTGATTACCCAACAGAGTGCATAATGTGAAATTAAAGGCACAGACAAAATAACCAAACATTTAACAAATTATATGAAAAAGCTTTGATTGGAATTTTTAGCTCTAATAAGCAAACATGAGAAAAGCAGAAGTTATTTTTGGTTCTGCAATAAATAATGACTGGAAATTATATTTTTTGAGTAAGGTCTCTGGATGAGTATATAATAATAATATAATAATAATAATAATAATAATAATAATAATAATAATAATAATAATAATAATAATAATAATAATAATAATAATAATATTTGTGTGATTATTATGCATTCAGCTCTAACTAACCAAATGCAGGTACTTACCAAGGTTTTTGAGGAATCTTCTGCTCTGTAGCTCTGTAAAAATAAATAAACTGACCTCCGTTCAAGCGTGTCAAAAATCCTATTTAAGTGGACAAATTTGAGCAGTGGATACACAACAGCGTCTCTCCACCAGCTGCTCTGAACAACGTCTGCATGTGAGCCGCTCCTGCCAAGCGTCTTTCAGAGGAAAAGTTGCGCGTGCTTGTCCTCAGCCTCAAGTGATAAATCTGACAAAGAGGCGTGAAGAAAGACCGCACGCACACGCACGCACACACTGGCTCCTCTCTCGGGTGGTCTGAAAAGAGCGCAGCGGTGTGCAATAAAGTGGGTCTTACTTTCTATCCACATGTGTTCTTTTATTAACGTTTTATTTGTTTTGGTTGAATTGGGTCCACTTTACTATTTCCTGTTGTTAGAAATCAAGGCAGAGGAATCCACTTAGTGCAGCTTAATTATCCAATCAGTTTCAAGCCAGTGAGAGGCAGAATTCTTGAGAATGCTAATTCTTGAGTTTGTCTTTCTGTWGGAAAATACAGCTCAAATGTGATGTAAATCTGATATTTAAAGGTGTAATGTTAGGTTATTGTTTGGTTAGTTTGATACAATATTGGGTCAAAACCCATTTGGGTGGGAGACGTCGTATCTTCACAGTATTTTAGGCCAGCAGTTRACCGAATTGAAACTGACTGGACTTCTGTTGAAGTCTGTTGAATAMATAAAGATGAGTAGGTAATAACAACATTATTGGCTTTGTTAATAACTTCAGTTTGTGAATGTTAGGCCTTCAAATTTTATTTAATTTCTGTGGGGGAAAAAAAACTTGGACACATTTCTTTCTAAAACAATTAAATTTTGCTCCTGAAAAACAAAACATACATTTTATGAGTCAAATTTCTCACAGCGCAGAAAAATGAAAATTAAAATAAGCTTCCCATGTGTCCCATTGAATAATACATGATATACTATTAATTTCATTTTCCAATTTAGCTTTAATATCTACCTTATTTTATTTTTTTTATTCATGTGCTGAATTTGTAGTTTTTATTCAGCCATTTGTTAAGAGGTTTTACATAAATTACAATATGCAACTTTCCGGTGAACAAGCATCACGTCCAGTGGCAAGAACAGCTGTTTTAATCCCTTTAGGGTGGATTATGTGCTAGTTTTTGACCTCAAATTTTGCTGTCCTTCACATTTATATTGTTGTTTAAAACTCACATTGCTAAGCATAACCTAACTAAGTGTTGTGGGTCTGACAACATGATGTTTTCACTCAAATCTTAGAGGTGCTGTGAGTTTGCAGAAGGAAGCAGCCATGGTAAACGTCATTAGTCTGCACTGTGCTCACATTTGACTTTAATGTTGCAGAGCTGTCACTGACCATGTCGGAAATGGAGTTATAATACTTATGCAATGTGACACAGCAGCCCCAACTTCAGGCGCTCAGAACAGAATCAACCCTGTCAGACCAYGTTATCTCACACAAAACTTCTACTGTACAAGCAACTTCTTTTTTTTTTTTTTTTTGCATCCGAGGCATTTGCTTTTTACATTTATTCCTGATCAGATACATCAGAGGTCTGTCCTAAATATATTCTGTGTTATTGTTCTAATAGTAAAAAGCAAAAATAAAGAAGCCCTATTGTATGAGGTTTAGCTGCTTCTGCATGTTGAAAAGAGTGAGCAGGACAAACAGAAATTTACTGTCAGCTGTTGCTCACTATCGAGCGCAGACAAACTATTGCCTGCAGCTGTGAGCAGAGAGCACCTGCAGTTTCCCACCTCTGCAGGGGGTTTCACAAAAACCTCCACTTTGAGATTCTAAAGTATTCAGTTTCAGAGCAAACAAAAACCAGTTGTTGTTCACACAAATGGCCAAACCGCAACAGAAAAGCATAGGATTCACTCAAAAGCAGCATTGTGTAAACTGGGCCAAATACTGTTTGTTGTGCAATAAACTAAATGGTTTATATCTAATATTCAGTCTGGGTTTATTTAAGAAACAAMTCTTTTTTTCTTCCCTCACAAATTTTTTGTAGTAAAATCACATCCAGTTTGTTGGACACACACAACTGCACTTTGCTTACACCCACAACAGACAGGTGGTTACGACAATTCAACTGCTCATAACAAAAAATAACCAAAAAATAAATAAAAAAGAGAAATATGTTTTCATCTATATAGACTTTTTAACATACTTCACTTTTAGGTGACTAATGTAAAGGACCTGCAAAATTGTCCAAACCATAACACTCAGTGGAGTCACATTAGTCTTTTATCTCAGTCTCATGTAACTCAGTTGAGTAGCATTAGCCCTTTATTTCAGACTAGAATGCACATCAGTTACTCATATGTTAATATGTTTGGTGATTATTGCTATGTTTTCCTCAGGCTTAAAGCATTTTGAACTGATGTTTTGCTTGAGTAAGGTTAAGTAGAGGTTAATGGCTAGCCGGACTGGTGCCTCTTTTATTGCACATTCAAGGCATATAAAACAATTCTTGCTTAAAAATGTCACCCTAGTGTGAGAAAATGTTGTAACTAGTCATTAGTTGGTGTCCTGTTGGGACCTTCTTCCTTTTTCTACACACWCAGTCTTCTATGACTGATAGCTGATACGGTACTATTAACTGAAAACTATTGGACAGAACRTCAYTTCAAAAGACCACACTATCCCTTTAAATCTTTCAAGTTTGCAACTTTTCAAAATTTTCTCTGGTTTTGCAGTACAAATGTTGAAATGTAAAGTACACAAAAATAATAATGTTGCATATCACTCATTTCCTATGTTTGGCAAACTCAAAAGCTCCAATGRTGATTAAAAAAAGAACAATACCTGTGAAATGGAACAGTTTTTTTTTTTTTTGGTCAGTTGGGCATATTGTTATAGCCATGAAAAACCMCATCTGTTCATATTCAACCACCCTGAAAAGAAGATACAGTAACTACAAGCAGACAGCAGCAATGATGCCCTTCTAAGATCAATTTCTCATTGTGATGAACAGATAGCACTGCTGTTTCCTACATTTCCTCTGACAATCATCTGTCAATAGCAGCAGGATTGCCTTTTGTCCTCTCACATCAGGTGAGATGAGCAGATCCAAGCAGACGTCTCCTGATCTAATAGACACAAGAGGAGAAGTTGCTCAGTTTACTTGAGCACGCTTGTGTCTGAGCTCACAGGAAGTAAAAGCACACTTCTTATTAGCTTTTCATCATTTTCGAAGAATTTGCTTTTTTTGTTCGGCCTCGCAATAGTGTCTGTCAGGAGACTTGCCTTAAAGGCTTTCATTTCCAGCTACGGACACGGCTCTGATCTCACCCAGCCCACAGATTTACTGCCACTCGTAACCTGTGAAGATAGATGAAAAGGAGAGGCGTTTCTCAAACAGGCATTGTTTTCATCCATGGAGAATATGCACAAGACCTTTAATCTACTGCATCTGTGGGAAGGCGGACAGGCAGGAGAGTAATTTATTGGTAACACAGTTTGGAAAGRAAAACAAGAAGCAAATCAGAAACCACAGAAGTGCACATCTGGGGGTTAAATCTGATAAAAAGGATCTTGTTTTGGGCTAAATTTATGCTATCACATCAGGAGCATTTCACTATTTTCGTTTGAACCCAAGTATTGTCAAATCACTGTCTGGATTATGTGAGTGGATAACAACATACTGTACTCAAAAAGTACCTTCCTGCAGCCTTATTGCAGAAAACAATACACTATGAATCAGGTCTAAATCASATTACTAACTGATCTTAATGTTTCAGATGCCTTTAAATGCCACTCAWGCAGTTTTTTTTTYYTTTTYCYTTTTTTTTCTTCTTATCTGTTTGGAACACTAGTGAACCCTTTGGGGGACAAAATGAAGACAATGTCCCAGTTGCACTATATTAACTTTCATTTTAAAGTAGAATGTATTTTGATTCATTGAACAGCTGTATTCAACAGGATGTAATCATGTCTCTGTCTATTAACTTTTTTTCTTTAAAAATAACGATTACATGTGTCTTTGTTTTGTTTTGATTCTGGCTGTGGAGTACAAGCATAATTTAAATTACCCTTCAGATGGTCATGTCTGATGCATTGTATCTAATAAAGCATCTTAATAAAGCAGAGGATGTCACTCATAACGAGGTGTGTGTCCCACAAAAGATGGTTTAGTACAAACTGAGATCTCACAAAATTCATCCTTCTTGAGGGAAATTTGGATTTTTATCATCCAATCAAATACAAAAAATCCAATTAATTTTGTAAACAATGTTTTACTTTTAGAAAAGAAGAATAACTGTAGTTTTAAAAGTTTCTTCACAAATGTGTTATTTTGATTGAAAACTTTTTTTTAATTGATTGAAAAAAATATCTCTTTACTTAGTCACATCCTTAGTTTTCAAATATTTTAGGAAAGAAAACWTGTAATTGCACCTGACCCTGCTGGTGTTTGCCTAAGTTTTGGTTGGGGAAAATTCTTTCATTTCTGACTTTGCGTTGGGTCTCACATGTGCTAGCTGTATTAACATCCACTGATTACAGCACATCATCTCACCAGATGAACGTTTTCAGATCGATAATGCTACAGCTGTGCGTAATTGATGCTCTGCGGTCTTTTCTACGATGTTATGGGAAGCAGCGGGGGGCTGATGAAGGGTTCTGCTTGACTGAGTTGCACAGGTGGCTGGTGAAGTTTGCAGATCACTTCTGTGTTTTGTTTTAAATTAACACACTAAAAGTTTATCATGTCATATTTATTAAGATAATCTAAATGAGCTTTATCAGCAGCCCCATTGCTTCTTGTAAAACTTCATMATTGAACAGATTAGATAAAAATTCTAAATTAGGGTTCATCTATATTTAATGTTAAAATGGAGTCTGCTTTGTCAACTCTTTCTGAGCTTTGGAAAGCAAACTAAGATGGTTATTTATAACAGACCAGAGAGGTTCTCATGGCATGTTTTAAAACTTATTTTGTCACATGCAAAAGTTTAAAACTTTGCAAGTCAGAGGACTTGAAAAGAAAAGAAAGTAAATTTTGGTCAATGATGCTGAGGGGCCAGGCTATCAAAGGTAAACCAAACTCTCCTTAGAGACTCATTATTTGGAAGAGGCATTCTTGATTTTGGTGCTGTGAATGCTAAACAACAGATGGCAATATTCAAGAAAATTGCCCTCTGAAGTTCTCAACMATTCTCAAAAGCCATAGTTTTAGAGGACAGTTCAGCTCCGAGTGGTTCCACAAGTTGTGGTTTGTACGACTTTTATAAATTAAAAAAAGCAAAGAACACATTGTGTTTGAAGAAAAAAACAACAACAACAAGCATCCAAATGATGCACACAAGCACAGCAGGGGGCTGCTGTCTTCGAGCATTCAGCTCAGTGTCTGGGTACAGACGTAGAGCAGCACACTCTGGGTAGGGTCAGCRAGGTAAATCAAGAACAAAAGGAAATGCAAAAATGGAAGTCATTCAAAAATAAAAGAAGCTGGTTTGCTGAGGTTATCTGAGCCCAGTGAATAAGGCAAATTGTCCTGATGCATCTCAGTCATCCAGGTAGAAAAAATGTAAAAGAAAAAATAAGTAGGTCCTCTGGATGGGTTCTTCTTTAGTGAAACGCTTTGTCTCTCATCCATGAGACTTCTTCAGTCTGATGAGTTTCAKGTGAAACTCAGCCTTATAAGCACTGCCTCCACCTGGACAAACAGGTTAGTCACATGCAAAAGAGGCCATCGCCTAACAATAGGCTTGATTAGCTCTATCGTTCATAGAGGGTCATGTGCCCCATCACCTGACTTATTGGTTTGGATGCTTAGGCTGTGGTTATTTGGTGTTTTTTTTATGTGAATGCAGTGAGTGCAAGCGGGGTTCAGTGTCCCCTTGTTTTTGTCTCTCTTTCCCTGTTTGTGTTGGGTATCAYTGGGGCTCTAATTTGTGAGCAAAAGGTGTGAATCAGGGCCCCAACGATACCCAACAAAAATAGGGAAAGAGAGACAAAAACAAGGGGATGTTGAACTCCGCTTGCACTCACTACATACACATAGAAAACACCAAATAACCACAGCCTAAGCATCCAAACCAATAAGTCAGGTGATGGGGCACATGACCCTCTATGAACAATAGAGATAATCAAGCCTATTGTTAGGCGATGGCCTCTTTTGCATATGACAAACCTGTTTGTCCATGTGGAGACAGTGCTTATAAGGCTGAGTTCACCCGAAACTCATCAGACTGAAGAAGTCTCTTGGAGAAGAGACGAAATGTTTCATTAAAGAAAAACCCATCCAGAGGACCTACTTATATTTTATTTTTGAATAAGACAAATTGATTTTGTGTCATCATCTAACCCTTCACATTTTCAGTGATGACCCATCTCTGCCCTTCAGATTGTGAACTGTTTCTGTCAACTGCTTCAGTAACAAGAAATAAAAATGATAAAAATCATTGACTCATTCTAACTGTGTGAACAAACCCATTTGTTTTAGGCACAAACCTTGGACATAGTATGTGATGGAGGTGATTCTCAGCTGTGACCACACCAAATTTTACCTAAATATAAAGAAAACGGGCAGGATTGTAACTATTTTTGTGTTTTCTTTGGTTAATTAGTTGACTCAGGTTAATTGCAACAGCTAATCTGTCGTAGATGTATGATTACTTTCTGAGAGCTTTACAAAAATCTGTTGGGTGGCTCCAGAGATATTATTTGACAGATAAATGAACAGGCGGCCCATCGCCTGATCACCTGCCTTCTATATGGCAAAAGGCAATCGAACTGAGTTTTATTTTTAGCACCAGCTGATAATGAAAGATCATCACATGACATTTTTCAGGAGGGCAGAAAATCAAAGGACTGCACAATATTAGAAAAACATGAGCAACAATAATGTAATGAGCAGTAAATAAACACCACAATTTCCTTGCTCTTTTCTTTGATTTCTGTCTTTATTGCGCTCGCAACACTTTCTATGTGCTTCAGCATCTCAGCCACTATTATTTAAATCAGGTGTGGCAATAAAGGAAAATGAGGATCCATTTGATTGGTTAAGTAATTTACTGCCATCAGATCATATAACCAGTTAAACACATTATAGCCTCTCAGTCCTAACAGACCTTTGGGACGTTGAACTCATTGAAGCTGTAGTGATGATAGTTTTTATTATCATTGCAGCATCATCACACTTCTAATCATATTTCAGTCTAGTGAAATTCTTAAAGGTTGAAAAGGTTTAGAAAATGAGCTAAAAGCACCCCGAAATGGAAGGTAACTTATTTAGTAAGACTTRCAGTCAATCATTTCCTGCCAATATGGATGGTCAAGACAAATTAGCGGAAACGTTTATGTCTGCTTCTTTTTCTGCTTTCTTGGTTATGGCATGATGCAGCTCTAGCACAGTCATGAATTCAGTATTGATTCTGTTTTTTTTTTTTTTTCCTACAGGGAATTTTTTTTCTTGAAAATGTGTTTGGTTGTTGAAGGCAAGGAAGAGGAGCTTTACATAGTCCTTGAACCGATCGTGAAATGAATGAGCTGTTTGTACGTGATACATGGTAGAACTCAAGTTTGTATTCATGTGGTGCAAACTAAAATGGCTGAATTAAAAACATTTCCCAAAAGCTCACCATAATGAAGAACATATGACATCTATTCAGCATTAGTTATCTCATAAGTATAAATAGTAACATATAACCATATTTTTTCATGATTTAGTCAATTATTGCTTTAAATACCAGCAGCAGAAACACCATAAAGGGAGGTTTTCTAAAGCTAACAATAACTCCAGCAGCACCAACTGGTTTCTTTGGATCTTCTTTTGTATCATATTTTTTGAAAGGATGTGTAGACTAGTACAGCCAGTGATCAAACACGGTGTGATTAGTGAAACTAAAAATATATTGTAAGCCCAAAGAATGTTTATGTGATAAAAATAAAAAAAGACTAGATGCTTTTARAAGAAATCTACATCATAACGCTTTCAGACAACAAACTTACAAAGTTTAATAAAAAGCATAGGTTTCATACACAAACAAGACAACTTCCTAACACAATGTTGTTTTCTTTGATAAGTTGTACTGAGAGAGAAAAAAATAATTTCTATTTAATAAACATTATTACTTAGCAACTTGTCAGTTTATTTATTGTTCACMCTGTAGCATATCCTCCTGCTCGTGGCTTTTTTGTTCTGAGATCAAAAATGTGATGAAATGTTGATGTGTTTTGTTCAGCATTTTTACAGCAGGCTAGACAGATTTTTTTTTTTTTTTTGAGCAATGAGCCGACCTTGTTTCACACCCGGAAAGCATGTTAAGAAAGAAGCTCTTTTGATTTGTCCTCATCTCTCTGACACTCTGTCTGCGAAAGGTCACAAAAAGCGCAAATAGAAACAGATGAATAAAAAAGCAAATATAGATGATCATATAAAGATCAAACWTTACTTAAAAGCAAAAAAAGTATTTCATACAAAATAGCAAAATATAAAAAATACCMTGCTTATCCAAGCAAAGCAATATAATTGCCAGAATATGTTGTGTGTAAATTTGAGCTTTATTCTTTTATTCTAAAAATGATGCACTGTTTCATGGGCGTAACCACCATAGGTACAGGGTGGGACAAAGTCATWTGTGAACACCATCCAGTAATGCTGYCTTTTTGGTGCATCTGCCTATGGCCTGCAAAACCTGGAGAAGCATCATCAATGCAAACAAGTTAGATGGAAGTTTCAGAAAGTCRTATATTCCCATCCAGATGCTGTTGTTTTCATGGAAGGCCTTGCATATTTCAGCAAGACCTTGCTAAATCGCATACTGCATCCATWACATTATGGCATCAGAAAAGAACAATATACCGTACCTGCTGAATGGATCTGCCTGCAGTCTAGATTGCTTATCAGTTAAAAAAGTTGACACATTGTGACATGAAAATTTCAAATTCATGACAAACTTTAATGACCCAGATTTTCATGGTACCGTGTTTTTTGTCGGTAGATAGAATAATTGTAGCAGAACAAAAATTGCTAACAGCAGTCATTCTTGGATATCACTTGTATTTATCTCTGTGTTTTCCCTTGACCCAGCAAAGTATGAAATCATGCTTTATTAAGATGACATAATGGTGTTTGTTATACAGTATATATAGGAGGCCTCCTAACTGCCTCATGGGAGAAGGGGTTAACGCGCAGCCTGGTGGCTCCGTGTCAGTTTCTGTGTTCTTGCTGATTGCAGTAAACAAACCCAGATGACCATTCTACAAAGTGCATCTATTCTTTGGATCACATATTTCTGTTTCTAGTTAAATAAATATTTCTACAGCATGACAAAAAAAACCTCCAAAAGMTTCAGCAACTTATTTCCTCAGTTCTTCGATGTTTACAGCCTGTTGTTGAAAGAAAATGAGATGCTTCACAGTGACAAATATGGATCTGTCCCCACTTTTTTGAGAAATAATGCCATCAAATTCAAAATTCACATTTTTTTGTTTTATTATAAACAGTCACCAGCATCCAGTGTGCCACATCAACCATGGATATAGAAAGCAGCTGACTATGAACCAAAATAATGACGGGTGACTAACCAGTGTTTTCGCTGGACAGACAACTGTTTGGTTTTGTGCTTTTGCTTTGTCATCAGCAATGCTGCCTTTCAAATCTCTGCCACAAAGAACACAACAAACTCTGGAAGGCCCCAGGCTCACATCATGGGCAATGACAGCCACGAGGTCTGAGGGGGGGGCTACTGTATTATGGCCCCAAACAATACCATGCAGCATTTAGTCTAGCATGAGACAGCCAGGGGTGAGCACCCAAGTTTTCCATCATTAAAGGTGCTGAAGGGGACCGAGCGCTCCGGGGATACCATCAACCCAGGGGAAAGTGTTCCACCATGTTCAAGACCAGCTACAAGCGTGAGCTGCACAAGGAGAAGTACGAGCGCTCCGATGTCTTTGATGTGGAACCGGAGGACTCTGAAACCTCCGCGGGCATCTCAGCCATCCAGGGCTGGGAGAGCCTTCAAGAGCTCAACGGCCGCTTCGCCAGGTACATCAACAGGGCCCGGGTTCTGGAGCAGCGCAACGCTGTGTTCCGTAAGCAGCTGGAGACGCTGCAGCGGATGGAGGAGACCAGTGGGCTGGAGGAGACCTTCACAGAGCAGATCGGGATCAACAGGCAACGCATCAGACAGCTGAACTCCGACCACACCAAACTAGAGCGAGAGCTGAAGGAGGCCTGTCGCATGTTGGATGAATTCACCAACAAGTAAGGGAGAGTGAAGTTGGCTTTGTCTTTGAGTTAAAGGTCAAAGTTCTGTCTTATATCCCCCATCTCAGAGATTTGTGTATTATGCTGTATTATAGTTTTATTTCTTGTGCATGCTTAAAAAAATTCTGTAAGAAGTCAGTGTTTTCCTAAAGAAAAAGTATAATTAAAAGAAGAATTTTTCCCTGAACAGAACTCAAGTCATTCAGAAAACCTCAGAAAATAATGGAATTTAAAAACAGCTGACATAACCGTTTATTACTTGTGATTAGAAAAAGTGCACTGATACAAACCATCACAATCTTTCATTTTCCAGGTATAAAAATGAATGTGATTATCAGGAGCAGCTGCGGGGCACACTGGAAAATTTAAACAAGGTACGACATGATATAGGCTAAAAACATTTCATTTTCATAAAAGTATCTGCAATTTGCACAGAAATAAAGGGCATAGACTACTTTTGCACAGAATAAATTCAAAAGACACAAAACTACCTCAAATGGTTTACTTTACCATACCTATTGCATTAATTGTACAAGTGCAGTCTCCTTTTCCTTTTTCTCCAACAGGAGGCAGACAGTGCGCTACTGAAAAACCTGGAGTACCAGATCGAGTCTCAGTTTTTGCAGGATGATATCAATTCTACCAGAGAAAGACATAAGAAGGTCAGTAAAAGTAGAAAAAAAATGTTTTTTTTATTTAGGAAAATAAAAATTAAAAGAAGAATGCAGGTGAAATGAATGCATGAGTTTAAAGAACAGTTGACATGATGACAATCCAAACTATCAGTAGCCTATGTTTGAACTGAGCAGTGATGTGTATGACATAGTTGAACAACTCCTGAATAAAATGTAGCAATTCAATATTATAGTGCAGGAAAACAAGATATTATTTCTTTTGAGAAACTTGATTTCCATGAATACAACCACAAAAATGTTGTGTTTGCTGCAGTTCTTGTCTAAGTATCCATCTGCACCAGCACTACRTGCAGAACCAGGACAAAGATGCTGCCGGGAACAAAGCCAGTAATCAGTGAAGTCCAATTACAAACAAAACGAGCTGACTCAAAGAAACAAAAAAAAAAAAAGGTTTTGATTTGATTTTTGTGTTTGTCTTGGTTTTGGATCAAATTCTTTTAGTAAAATTTCAGAACTATCTGGAGTCAAACTGCTTCAGCAGGTAAAAAGGCTTGTTTGTGCTGCTGTCTGTTAGTGAAACCCTAAACCCAGTAACGAGTGCACAATTTTAAATTGCATTCTGGCACTGAACATTAGCTTCCAAAATAAATTATTTAGTATATTTTCTTTTTCAATTTTGTGCAAATTCCCAACCAATAATTACACAAGTCACGTTTTTTTAATGATGACAAAAACAAAGGAAGCCAAACAATGCACATTTTTATCACCCACCAAAGGCACCAGGCAGTAATGTTTTATTTTTTTTTTTTACCTGACTGTGTCTGTAGCGTTAGCTAAATATCTCATGAAACAATGGTTGCATTTTAACGGAACTCTCAGACAATAATTATTACRAGATGTGATTCTATGACCCAAGAGAGAATTTGGAGTCAATCCAATTCAAAATGGCTGCCATGGCTAAGCAACCTTAGCAAACAGATAATCAGCTAACTTGTCCCATTTTCCAGTTATTGCACTAAAACTTTGTATTTTAGTAGCTGAGAGTCATCTTTAACAAATAGTTGAAGTTCAACATGATGAGCATTTTTGCTTCTAACTTTGTCATCAATTGTTATAAAACACTGTCTTCCTGTTGGCAAAATTTCTAATTTTCCACTATACATATTTTCATGAAACTCTTGCAAAGTAGAAATTAATATGTGGGGGTCTGATTGCTCTTATAATATCGCATGAGATTGTGCATAATGTTACAGCTATAACTCCCTTCTCAGCATTTGAAGGGTTTAATTTACCTCTCTGATAGGAAAGGTAACGGGCAGTGTGCATTCCATTCAAACATTCTGTGATGAGGGGAAAACATACTAAATAACAACACATTACTTCTCATCAGTGATGTTTTTCAATAAGACTTCATGCATCTTCAAGATTTAATTACAACACAAATGATTTCAGTCCAATTTTATTTTAAAAAATAGGATATTTTTTCACACTAAGTCTGAAAAGTTATAAATAAGTGACAGGAGATGTGTTGAGATGTTCCTGAGGGCTTTTGTCACAATTTGCTTTTTGTGACGCAGCTGTAAAAAGAAAGCTCTGCACAAAAAATGAAACTGGCCATCGCAGTCACTGACATGACTGAGAAGCACAGAGACAAAAACAAAACTGACAAACAAAAGAAAACAAATACTTCTTTGTCTGGCAGAAATGACTGGAAGCTCCAGCACAATGGCAACATAAAAATGCTGATGGTAAAAAAGACTAGAATGTAACGTGCATCACGGGGGCTTTCAAAAGACTTTCTTTCTAGTTCAATGCTCTTTTTTTATTTTTTATTTTTGTTTCAGCCAGCGTGGCTTTTGATGACAAATTAATCTCATGACTCTGCAATGTTTAACCACCGTAACAAATGGCACTGCTGTTATTCGGTTATGCAGGAAAGAATAGGGAGTCATTTCACGTGAATGTAAGGTTTATGGCACCAAGCTTTGAAGTGTCCCACATGGGAGAGAAAATGCAGCTGCTCTTTGTCAGTCTTGCATCATGCTCAATCAAATAGGTTGAATAAATCCTATTAGTTTAGACAACTATTGGACCACACATTTAAGCAAAAGTTAGTATTTTTTTAACATCAATCTTTTCTTAGAAGGCTGAAGTAGATGTCTAAATCTTTGTGAACGTTTTTCCTGGTTTTAATCATTTGTTGATAAGGTATWATTTCTTTTGATTTGTCTTTCATGCTTTCTTTTTTTATTTATATATCATGTTCCTCTTTCCCAGAATCTTGCAGAAATCCAAACCTATGTCAACATTTTGCAGCAAATAAACCAGACACTTCCCCTTGTTCCCAATGTGTCAGTTGGCATCTCCGAGGTAAGGGTGCTAATGTTGTCATTGCGTGTGTGAGTGTGTGTGTGTTTGTGCAACACACCCCTGAGGGAGTAGATGGTGTTTGCATGTGTGTCAGTCCTGCTTTGTGTCTGCACTTGATGAGGTTACCAGCTTCTCTGTCCAATTGGTTTTCTGCACATGCATTAGTCTGAGTTTTGTTTTGTTTTTTTGTGTTTGCGTGTGAACGCATGCTGTGTCAGAACAGACAATAAACAATTCATCAAGAAGCGTACAGGTGAGCAATTTGCAAGTGTCAGGGCACCTAATGAAGCAAATGCTATGAGGAATGATTGCGCATGCTAATTTTTTCGTTACTCTGCCACAGTGGCTCGTGTTCGACTAGCAGATTGGGGATTTGTTTGCTTAAATATTTCTCAGAGGCAGGGTTGCTTCTAGCGCAGAAGTGCTTTAATTGGTTGAGTTAAGTCTCCATGGGCAACGACAATGAGCCCAGTTTGCATTTGCAGCTCTGTGTTGACATCAACAAATACAAAGGACAGGAGCTTATKTCTGGTCTTTTAGAGCAGTGGAACACATAGAGGGCAACAAAGGGTTAATGTGTGAAAACCTTCACAGTGACTGAAAGATGATGTAAATTAAATGTGACCTTGCAAGCACAGAGTACCAGCTTTCTATGACAGTCAGGCTGTCTAACTTTTAAACAAGTAGAAAAATGCATCATTTTTGTTTCATTACTTGGTCTTTGATATATTTGACTCAGTTCAAATGATTTGGATAATCTCACTTTAATAATTGGTTAAAACATTTACTGCAGAATATTAAAAAAAATAAAATTAATCATCCAAAGAAGTTCCTGCAATTGCTCAGGCACTGAGAGCATTTTAAGAGCCTAATGCATGATTTACAGGATTGCAATTATTTATTTATTCTTTCTTGAATTTCATTTAAATAAAAAAAAACATTTAGTTCTACAGCATTAAGTGCCTGAGTATGGGCAGGTATGAAGGGATCTGAAAAAGTGATAGATGTTTGATCATTATGACAGTTGCAAGGTAATCTGCCTCTGAGCATGACTTCAATATGAACTTTTCTCAAAATGATGCCATAATTGACAAAATGATCATAATTTCATATTAGATATAGTAAAAGTCCAGGCCGGCATCCCATAGTCATTACAGGAATGATTGCTGAAATCATAGATCAAGTCAGAAATAAGATCATTTCCTGCCAGACTTCTACATAGTAGGGCTTCTGTTTGCAAAAAGTTTATGTGTTTAAGTATCAAATAGTAACTCTTTGACAAAAAATGGTAGAATAGAAAGAAAAAATAAAAACAGAACACTAGTAAATCAGTTCCTTGCTACTGTATATTATTATGGCTCAAAAAACAAATTATCAAACTGAATAAGACCTCAGAACATGTGATTCACCAGCTGGCATTCAACATCGTGATGGTTACAAGGTTTTTTTTATGCCCAACCTTTAAGCTCAGTTGTTGCACCTATGTCATTCGCCAAGTAATTAAAGAAAATATTAAACAAAAACTTAAATATTAGCTTTGACTGAAAGTCATCTAAATGTCATCCTGGGTTTACTTCAAACGTCCTCAGCTTTTTTAGAGCAGATGGCAAGCGTATTTGACCTTTTGGTTTGGAATGAATTTGTTATTTATTTATTTATTTATTTATTTATTTATTTATTTATTTATTTGTTTGTTTATTTGTTTATTTGTTTATTTATTTATTTTTGAGAAATTAACTGAAATTTTCACTAATAGCTGAAGCATGAGTTTATGGAATGTCATTCGGTTTAYAATTAAATCAATCAGGGACTGCTTTCTGTGTGGTGGGGTTCAGCAACATATTGTCAAAACAAAAAACAAACAAAAAAAGTGCAACACATTCTATGTTCCATTGATTTGTGCTGAATGTGTGAAGGAGCAGGAGAGACTCCTGGCCCAGAAGAAAGTACCGGAGCTGCAGAGTCAGCTGGAGGAGTACAAGAGCACCCTCTGTCAGCTGCAGGCGCAGAAACAACGCCAGCAGAATGAGGTAAGAYGCCATGACAACAGGAAGTTTCCTAATAGTTATATCTGAACACTGTTTATACTTTTTTAACAAGACTAACAAAAGTACTCCCCATTTATRTAAAAATTAATGCTTTTTAGATCCTTTAGGTATCTCTCAGTTGTATGCTAACTGTTCATAATTTGGATTATTTATTACGTAGTAAACATTTATTCTTTTGTTATCCCATAAACCTTTTATACTATTTAATACTTTTAAATTACTAAATAAGCTCTCTTTCTTATTTGCCAGTAGGGGGCAGTAAATGTCTTCTTATAAGCAGTTCAGTGATGGAGCACTGTGGCCTAAAGAGACACCATTATTACTGTGTTTGCCTTGTTTTTTTATTTATTTGTTTTTTCTTTACATTGCAGAATTCCTCATTTGACATACACTTCGCATAAAAATCATGGATGTTTGTGTTTGGCAGATGATTTGTTTGTTGTAACAATGATTCTTGGCAGTAAATCTTACAGTGAGCACCTGAGGGGTACCAGATGCTCAAAACAAGTTTCAATATAAACAGAAAAAATAAGCTCTTTGGGAATGGCAGAGAGGATTTTGTGCATTTTTTATATGTGCAACCCACTCAGCTCTGCTCATCCCAGAACTGCATGTTCCTCACAAATGTGGCACTGTTTAAAATGGAAATGTGCAGGCTTTTCAAAGGTGTAAGACTTATTGCCTAGAAATATTGTTACAGTAAAGAAATAAGTTAGAAAATTCCCTTACTTTTTGTGTTAATAAATCTATAGTGATTCGTTTTGATCCAATTGTGAATTTCTCATCTGTTTGGACATTTCCTCAAATAACAATCTCCACTTTTCACTCCCTGAAAAGATGTTTCTCTGAAAAATGTACTCACTATCTGAAGAAAAACAACCTTAATTATGTTTTTTTTTTTCTTTTGTGCAACTTCTTTTGAGCCTTAGTGACATTTTCTAACATAATGGTAATGATGGTGTTTAAAATAATACTTTTGAGAGTTTTTTACATTAAATACAATTGTTTAATAATTCAGAACTATGTGTCTCTCCATACAGACTGTAATGCTGGAGCAGGCCATAAAAGTCACTCAGGAGAGCTACGACAGCGAGATCCAGACGTACAATGAAAAAATCGAATCCATACGCAAGGAGATCGAGGACGCTGAGAAGTCCCTGGAAAAGTTCACAAGTGAATGTCGCCACCTGGCCATGTACCAGACATCACTAGAGAACGAGCTGGAGCGGTACAWGAGGATCATCGAGAATGAAGACAACAGGTGGACTGTCACACCGAGACGTCAGACTCACAAACACGAACAATAAGGTTTAGCTGGCAATGTAAAAAAAATTTAAATATTATTCAGGGCCGAAACCTTTCATCTAGCAATCAAAAATACAATGTATTTTTAAAACTAAGGATAAAAAAGAGGGTCTGAACAATAAGGTACATTTAACGTTGTTTTTTCTTGAAGGTTCCAAAGGCCTTAGATGGGAGAATAGAAATCTCCTGAGTTGGTGAATCTCTCAATATTCTGAATGATATAGATTTTTTTCTTTTTGATGATGCTGAAAAGCAACACCAACCAAGCACTACCAGCAGATGGTACTGTGTAACAGCAAATCAGTTTCCTTATAGCTATAGGACTTGATTTAGAGAACTATATATACACTCACCGGCCACTTTTTTAGGTACACCAGGCTAGTAACGGGTTGGACCCTCTTTTGCCTTCAGAACTGCCTCAATTCTTCGTGGCATAGATTCAACAAGGTGCTGGAAGCATTCCTCAGAGATTTTGGTCCATATTGACATGATGGCATCACACAGTTGCCGCAGATTTGTCGGCTGCACATCCATGATGTGTGTTCATAAAGGGATGGACATGGTCAGCAACAATACTCAGGTAGGCTGTGGCGTTGCAACGATGCTCAATTGGTACCAAGG